CTGGTAAAGAGCAGTAAGGTCAGCTAGTCCAATCATCAACCCGTCACTACCATGCCCACTAAACCATGCCCCAGGGGCCACATCTTGAAAGGATGGTGATTCCACCACCTCCCTGGGCAGCCTGTGCCAACACCTGACCACTATTTTGAAGAATAAATTATTCCTAATATCCAACCTGAAAACCCCCTGATGCAACTTATAGCCATTACTTCTCATTCTATCACATGTTACCTCTGAGCAGAGGCTGACCTCCACCTCACTACAACCTTTTCAGATCTCCCCTGAGTCTCCTCCAGACTGAACAATCCCAACTCCCTCAGCCACTACCCATAACATTTGTGCTCCAGACCCTTCAGAGCTTCACTGTCTTTCTCTGAATATGCTCCAGGGTCTCAATGCCTTTCTTGTCGTGAGGTGCACAACACTGAGCACAGTAATCAAGGTACAACCTCAGCAGTGCTGAGTACAGAGGGACAATCACCTCCTGCTCCTGCTGGCTGATCTATTTCTGACGTAAGCCAAGAAGGCCACTTGGGCACACGGCTCGCTCACGTCCAGTCAGCTGTCAGCCCCTAGATCCTCCTTCTCCACACAGTTTGCCAGCCACTTTGCCCCAAGCCTGTAGCACTGCCTGGGGTTGTTGTGACCAAAGTGCAGGACTGGACATTTGGTCTTGTTGCATTTCATTCCAAGGGTTTCAGCCCACATATCCAGCCTATTCAGATGCCTCTGCAAGGTCTTCCTACCCTCTGACAGATCAACATTTCCTACCAGCTTGGTGTCCTCTGCAAACTTACTGAGGATGCACTCATTTCTCTCATTCAGATCATCGTTAAGGATATTAAGTAGGACATCCCCAGTACTGACATCCTTGGTAAACACCATTCGTGACTAGTTACCAGTTGGATGTAAATCCATTCACCGTCTCTCTGGGCCCAGCCACCCAGGCAGTTCTTTACCCAGTGAAGAGTTCACCTTTCCAGGCCGTGGGCTGTCAGCTTTCACGGCAGTATTCTGTGGGAGAGAGAGAAAAAGGCTTTGCTGAAGTCTAGGCAGACTACATCAACAGCCTTTCCTTCTTCACCTTCAGGTCATCTTGTCATAGAAGATCAGGTTGGTCAAGCAGGACCTGCCTTTCATGAACCCACATTGTCTGAGCCTGATCCCCTTCTTGTCCTGCTCATGCTGCAGGACTGCACTCAATATAGTCTGCTCCCTTGCCCTCCCCAATATCAAGGTGAGGCTCACAGACCAGTAGTTCTCCAGATCCTCCATCCTACCCTTCTTGTAGATGAGCAGCACATTAGCAAGTCTACAGTCATTTGTGGCCTCCCCACTTGACCAATACTGCTGATAAAAAGTGGAAAGCAGCTTGGCAATCATACCCCTCAGCACCCTCATGTGGGTCCCAAAGGTTCCCTATTCAGCCAGGACATTCTTCTTCCCTAAAAGCTCATCTTACAGCACAGAGTGGCAGCCTGGTTAGGTGGTCTATAACAGACCCCCAGAATGTCATCCCTACTGGCCTTCCCCCTGATCCTTACCCATAAGAACTCAACATCATCATCCCCAGCATTGAGCTCTACAACATCAAAACACTTCCTAACACAGACAGTAACGTCACTGCCCTTCCTTCTTTGCCAGTCCGTCCTGAAGATCTTACCTTGTCCAGAAAGATTTGGTGGCTGGAAATTGGACTTATTCAAGTTATGGCTGAGATGCTGTTCGTATGGAAGAGGTCATTAGCTTTCTCAGACAATTCACCACCACTCCTCAGCTTCCCATGGGCACTTCTGCTCAGCCACCAGACCCAGGCCTCATGGAGGCTATGGGGCCACTTCTTCAGATTTCACTGTGGAAGGCACCAGTTTGGTAGACTGTAATGTTACGTGGCACCTTTTCCACTCCAAGAGGACTTTTTGACCTCTCTTGATTTATTTTCTTACTTTCTAGCTTTTATACTCCAATCTTCTTTTGTATCTACAGGTATTAGAAACTAACATTCCAACACAGCCATCTGGCTCTAGGAGCTGGGGTACCACAACTTTTAACTGGTAACATGAAAGTATGAAATCCAGAACATATTTTGTTTGTTTGTTTCTTTTTAGTTTTAGTTTTTTATGTCCTCTTCGTGTCTGTGATTCTTAACATTAGCACTGTCTCAAAGTGCACTGATAGTCAGTTTCTTAGACAGAAATAGCACCTTCTGCTGGGACAATCCCCCAAAGTCAGCACTCCTACTGGGCCTGGCCTAATTTGTCTGATGTCCCAGGGACTTCCGCAAGCTCTGAGTCGCACTCAGACAGCCTGGAGGAAGATGGACCAGGTAGCCTTGCATGAGCAACCAAGACCTGGATATGTTTTCTTTGGGTGGAAACATTTGTCTGGAGCTGCTGGATTCCCAGTGATTCTGGGAACACCAGTGCATTCCCAACGTCTAGAAAGTGCCTCGGAGCCCAGCACAGGAGCCATGTTCCATTTCCACCTGGGCTGAGTACTTCTGCAAGCCCTCTTGCAACTCCTGTGTCTCACGGCAGGCACAGCTTTGCAAGGGAGAAGGAAGAGAGCAGCACGCAGGGAGAGTCTCACTGCTCCCAGCTGGCAGCTGGCTCCCCAGGGGGCACAAAGGGCCTTTTCACACCCCGCATAAACAAGCCAGGGCCGCGAAATGCTGTTATCGAAGAGCATCAGTTCCAGCAGCAGCTCAGGCCGGGACTGCCTAAGCTCACCTCATCTTGGAAGTGAGGGCAAGCACAATCTCACTTCAACTTTTGCTGCAGATCTGACTATGAATACTTTGCAATGATTATTAATAACCAGAAGAGCACTTCGCTAATTCGTAGTTGGCGCTGCGCGTGGAAGGCGTGAAGTGCTAACAGCTACTGTTTCTCTCAGGGACACCAACGCTGAATAAAATAGGAATCATTAAAAACAATGTTGCAACAAAGAGCATAGAAGTACCCTCAAGGGGAAGAACTGACACATGCGATAACCCTCTTTGCTTTCTATTCAATAGAGGCAGACCGGATTCCTTGAAGGTGTAGTAAGCTATAATAAGAAAACTTGCTGGAATAACAACCGAACAAATACATGACAGCACAAAAAACACACAGGTTCTCAAGGAGGCCTAGTGACCAAATCTGTCCTAACACAGAACCATCACATGTCTGCAAGCCCTTTCAATTTGTGCCATCCCTCATTTCTTTGCATTGGCACCGTTGTTCCAAGCTGATTCTGCCAGACCATGAGGATGTGCCACCAGATCTCCCTTTGGTGACAAAGCACGATCTGACTGCCTGGTGGCTTTCCCATGGAGCTGCTGCCCAGGTAGGGAGTGGTGCACTCAAGCTCCTTCCTCCACGTCATGTCACATACAAGACACTGGGCAGCCAAGCTGTCCAGCAGCCAACATGCAGTTCCACCTGGCTGAGTACTGGCTGCTTGCTGTAACAACACTTCCTGATGAAAAAGCTAACCTCTGGAGATGTTTATTTATGTGAGTAACCCAAAAAATGCTGGTTGCTCTGAATTTCTCTATTTTCTTGTTTTGGTTTACTGTCCCTTCCCTCTGCGCCATCTATTATATGGGACACCTGAGCAGGTATCTCCATCACTGCCATCATGGAGCGAGACTTGACAAAGATGCAAAAAAAGCTTCTGTGTTATTAAATAAACAGAAGAGGGCCCATCATGTGATGATGGTCAGTATTTTGCAAATTAAGCTCTTTTCCTCATTTTGGGGGCAAAGGGCAGTATGGCCAAATCTCCATATAGACTGGATTTTCCACATCTTCAGTGCTGTTGAGGATTTTCAGTTTTAGCTGAAAAGGAGGAATTGAGCTTCCTGGCAGCTGGCAGACAGCTCACGGCCGTTTGTTCAGCACCAGCAGGGATTTGTCCTGCACATTCCTGCTCTGCTGCTCAGCTCCTCAGGGGGAACGCTCTCAGCCATGCACTATGAAACCATACTTTGAATGCATGTGGTCACCCACCAAATTTTTGACCCAAATTCATTTTTAACATTTAAATTTCCTGTTAGGGTATGAGAGAACCTGACACACTGAACAGCAATTCTTCCACTGAAAGGTAAAAACAGGCAGCAAATCAAGGACTCAAGACTGCACCCAGACCACATCTTTTTAGCAACACAGCTGTACAAATCTTTTTCTTTCGACTGTTCCCCAGAAATCCTGCAGCGCAGCGGCAAGGTGTGGCACCCACTCAGCAGCACGGCACGACGACAGAGGGCCAAAGGCAAAAACTCCGTAAAGGGAATCCGTGCAACCAGAGGACACGCCTTCTGTTTGTAAGCGAATGCCACCGCCTCACTCTCGGCCCTAGCGCGGCGGCTTATCCCCGAGGGGTTCTCGCTATTTACCCAGCTTTACGGGGCCGCACCTCCCGGAGAGCGCCGCTCGGCGGACACCCCGGCACGGAGGTCCGGCGGACACCGGGCCAACCCGCAGCCGCACCGCACTCTATACGAGCGCTGCCCGCGCTAGGAGCAGCGTCCGGGCCGTGCCAGGCCCCGCAGCGCGCTCCGGGAGCGGCCACGCCTCTGGGAGCCGCAGCGCTCGCCCCAGACTTCCTGCCCGAGGGAGGCTGAGCTCCTCCGCCGAGCGGGGACGCGTAGCTCCCAGCTGCGGCCCCCGGCGATCTGCGGAGGACCCCGAAGGGACGCGGGGGAGCGGGGTGCCGCAGCCGCGCGGGCTGAGCCGCACCGGGAGGGGTTAAGGCAGCGCAGCGGCGGCCGCCGGGGCTCGTTCGAGAGCGCGGCTCCTCCCGCGCGATCCCAACGGCAGTTCTGTTCGAGGCGGCGGACTCCAGGCGGGGCCGAGCTCCGCACCACGTAGCCGCCCGCCCGTGAGGAGCTTCCGCAGCGCGGAGCCCAGCGGCCCGGCCGGGGGCGGCTCCCAGCGGGCGGGGCAGGGGCGGGAGTGCGGCGGCGCGGGGCCGTTCCCTCCGCAGCGCCGCGGCCCGCCCCGCGCTGCACTCCCGCCGCACGGCGGGCTGGCGGCTGGCGGTGGTCGCTGCGGTGCGGGGCCGCGCCCCGGAGGAAGTCGGTGGCGGAACGGGCCCAGGTGAGCGCCCGCGCGGGGCACGGCCGGAGCTCGGCGGCCCCAGGTGCGTTTGGCCGCGGAGAGCGGCGGGCGGGGCGGGGCGGGGCGGGGCTGGGCAGGGCCGCCTCGCCGGGCCGCAGAGAAGCGACTGCGGCTCTCTCCGCCCGGTCTCCCTTCCTCGAGCCGGGAGCGGCGAGCAGCGCTTCTCATTGCCGCCGTTTCTGGGCGCGGGGCCCGGAGCGCCGCGTTCCCGGCCGCAGTGGGGCGAGTAGGGCGCGGTGAAGCAGCAGCCCGGCCGTGCAGCCGGACCGGCGCAGCCCAGCAGAGCCCAGCAGAGCCCGGGGATCCGCCGGCCCCGCAGCCCGCCCGGCGCTGCGGATTGCGGTAACTGCGTTTAACCGCGGGGCTGTGATTTCAAAGGGACGATTTACATTAGAGGGAGAATGTGCAGAGAGCCAGGAACAACTTGGACCGGGTCCTCGCATATTTCTGTGGTTATTTTTGGAGTATCGTCATATGGCAGGAGGTGGGCTCCGGAGGTATCCTCGAGCTCAGCGTTTTCTCCACAGACCGTTACCTGGGTGATCGTATTAGGGCTACGCGGGTCCCCTCCATCAATGCTTTCCGTATGAAGTACTCTTCCTACTGCTGCTTCTGCAGTAGTATTGTTCCGCTCCGTGCCTAGCCATGCGTGGCGGTGGGGACCCTTCTGCGGACAAACAATGGTCGGGGACGTGTTATGGAGTATTTGCAGCGCTGCAGGAGCGGGCGGTGGAAGAGCTCTGTTATTGGGCTGCAGGCTGTGTGAGGTGACTCCTGATGAGCCCTCTCCTTGCTGACATGCCCTGAGAGGTGTGGCTTTCTCAGCACACCTAGAGACCAGCCTGCTCATCAGTTCCTTCCCCCTGTGGTCATCTCACGTTGGCCTCTTGCATCCAAACAAATGGAGACGTGGGAAGTGTGTTGTGACCAAGGACTGCCTCTCAGGGATGCCTTGCAGCTCTCTGCCTCCTCCGCTGCCCACTGCACGTTTGCGGGTATCCTTTGGCTGCCATGGCTGGGGATCTGCACTCATGGCCTTCAGCAGCCTGCCTGCCCGTGTTGCCTTCAAGGAAGTTTGGAGCTTAGGGAAGGCATGGTTTGAGTGGTGATCCTGACAAAAAGACAATTACTGTTTAATTGTGTTTTTTGGCTTCTGGTCTGGCAGCCTGGAGCCTTTCTGCAGGTCTCCCTGGGTGCTCAGAGCCCTGCTGTTAGCAAGGACCACAGGCTCATAGGGTGTGTTCTGTGAGTGTGCCAGACTCTAGTTATTGTAGCACACGGAAGGTCTACAATCACCTTCTTTCTCCCTTATCCCTTATGCGAGTACAATCCCCAAATTGACTGTTGAATAATCAGCATATGTGTGTCCCCAGGGGATGTGAGCTGCCTCCTCTGCTTGCAGCCATTCCTGGGAGCAGTGAGCATCTCCTCACAACCCTTGTGCCATGTTTATTGCTTTAACAGCAACTTCACATGGTAGTGGGGCCATTGAAGTACACACTGCTGCACGTAGCAGAGCCCTGGTTGTGACAACAGCCTTGTGAAGGACTCAAGTGTGATGGACAGTCAGGAGGGGGTCTGGGTTGGCTGAAGAAAGTTGTGGTATTGCTGCAATATGGAACGGAGAAAATTTTCAGAATCAGTTTTCCTCCCCAAGGCAGCTGATTTCTCTTTTCTCTGAGCAATGACTGTGATCCGAATGAGGAGATCACCTTGATTTATACAGTAACCTTTTCTTCTTTCTGCTTCTAGCAGTCCTGTAAATGACTGAGATGTCCCTTGCACTAGCACTGCAGAATAGTCATGCATTGCTAGAGGAGGTTTTCATAGACGGACAAACTAGTCAGGTTTCTGGCTAATTTTGTTCCTAAAAAAAAAAGTGTCCTGTAAATAATCATGATTTCTAAATGATGGAAGTCAATGGAGAATGGCCTGCTGGTTAAAGTGCAGGAAGTGGGCTTGGCTGTGTTCAGGATTGCTCTGGGTTTCCTGTCTGTTCTCACAGGCTCTGCATGAGTGTCTCTTGCCTTAATTTTGTTCAGCTAGGAAATTATATTTCCCCACTGCTTTGGGCACAGTGATACGCTGCCTGAGTGACAGCTGGGATACTGATGGTGCAGCGTGTGTGAGGAGATTGGTTGAGTATGAGCTTAGGCTCAATGGCAGATCAATGTGGGCGTCTGGAAGGCCTGTGTTTAGCTATATTGTAGACTTTAATGCAGTGCCTGTCACTTGGAGGCCTGAGACTATTCTGAAGCTCTGTTTTGAGAGTATATGCAAAAAAATGAAACACAAAACAGTGGAGATTCCCAAGCTTGGTGCTTGGAAGCTCCTGCATGGAAAGACTTGTGCAGTTACAGATAGGTGACTCTCATACAGCATGTAAAATGTGCTTGCACCAGGGCTGTGACAGTGATGGCTGTGTGGTTTATTGTTCTCATTAGAGAAGTCAGATGGCACTGAGTCAGCAGGTTTGGATTTGTCACAGCTGTGGTGATTGTGCTGGAAGACCCGTGAGGTTTGGTGGTGTGAGGTGAAGGGACTGGCCTGTGCTGCAGCCACACCAGGGTTTGAGCTTGGACTCAGGCCTGCTGCTGGCTTGTGCTCTCCTTTGATTTTAGATGAAGTGGTGGCATTGGTAGGGACTAATAGGCCTTGAGACCACACTCTGTTATTTGGAATTCGTCTGCTTTGTGTCATTTGGTTCTTCTAATTTGATTGCCAGTAACTCACAGTGGCATAGCCTGCAGAATGAACGCTTTCTCTCGCGTGTCATTTTGTCCGGATTACAGGAGATGGGAACAACATTGGGAAGAGGTTGTCTTTGGTGAGCATGTGTTGCAGTATTTCCATGTCTCCAGATCCATCTTTCATCTCAGCCCTTGGGTGGAAGCCGATGGTTTAAGACCTCAGTGAGCATTAATTCACAGGATCCAACATGCCTGGGATGGGAGGGCCCCCCAGCCCTGCTGTGCTGGCAGCTCCCCAGCTCAGGCTGCCTAGGGCCCAGCCATAGCCTTGGGCACCTGCAGGGACGGGGCACCCACAGCTCTGGGCAGCAGCGCCGGGACTGCACCACCTCTGAGTAAAGAACTTCCTCCTCGCATCTGGTCTAAATCTCCCCTCTTTCAGTTTTAAGCTGCTCCCCTTCTCCTGTCACCGATTGCCTGTGTAAAAGGTCACTCTCCCTCCTGTTCAGAACCTTTCTTTAAATACTGAAGGCCATCATGTTTTCCCCACAGCCTTCTCTTCTCCAGACTGAACAAGGCCAGCTCTCTCAGCCTGTCTTTGTAGAAGAGGTCTTTCAGCCCCCTGAGCATCAAAGAAATAGATTTGGGCAGTTGTATCTACTGCAGCTTTCCTGTCCCAGGTCCTGTGGGCGTCCCCCATCTTGGATGGCAGTTGCTCCGCCCTCCCCTTCTTTTCTCCAAGGAGGTGAATGGCTGTGCCAAGAGCTATTGGGCCCAGCTGTTATACAATTGGGGCAGAAGCCAAGGCTTGCTTTCCTTGCACCAGACAGAGGAACGTGGGACTGTATGAAAAAGAAGTGTCATCTTAGAGCCCTCTTGGGTGGTTTTGCCCTCTTGTCCCAGTACAGAGCTTTGAAGATGCGGAAGGTACTTTGAATTGAAGCTGAGAAGCAGTTAGTGCCTTGCACATAGTGTATGCATGTACATCTACATACTCGTGCACACCTCACAGATTTGCTATCTGAGAAGGTGGGGGTAACAGGCAGAGCCTTAAAACCCAGAAAATAGTGCTTTGGAAGAGCAGTTCCCTTCCATCTTTTACTGATGGTCTGTGTTTTGTCCTCCAAAGGGCACTACACTGCCGTGTGGGCTCAGCAGTGTCTCAGACTGGATCTGCCCCATGCAGTAGCCAATGGGTCTGCTGTGATCACAGAGGAGTCTGTGCTGACACCGTTGTGCTCAAACCACGAGACAAATGAGGCTGAATCTGCAGATCTGCAGTTTCCAGAAGGTCAGCAGTTTCATTTGGGCACTTGGCCTTTTTGTGGAGATGAAATGTGGTACTGCTTTAGTATCGGATCTGATCCCATTTCAGAAGTCAGGCCTCTGCCCACCAGCTGTAATTGGACCCAATGGTAATCATGTTGAGCTTCATCTTGCCAGTTTCCCAGTCTGGTCCAAAAGACAGACACTGCTTTCCATCCAGGCTATCAGAGACACAGTCAAATCTTGTGCCAGATGTTAGTGTAAAATGCATCCCATGTGTGAGCAGATAGTGAATGGGGATTTACAGTATGGCATTTCTGCCAGGTTCCACCCACCTGACTCCTTCCAGCTATCTCACTGCCTGTGCCCCGCTTGCTGACTGGTGACAGAGCAGAAATGTGTGTTGGTATCCTTTGCTGTGTATCAGATGGAGAGGAAAACACAGGGTGGAGTCTTCTTTTGCACAAAGGAGAAAGTATCATTTCTGCCTTTGGTGGATTTTTAGGTGGCTGGGGGAAATTAAATAGAATTTTATCACATTCGTAGCCCTCTTCCCACCTCATTTTCCTGTGAATCTGTTGCTGTCATGGTATCTTTCAGAAGATATTTTTAGATTTGCATTTTTTTTTCTTTCTTTTCCGCTCATATCAGGCTTCTGAAGGGAAACACATTTCTATGGCAGAGCAGAACGAGCCATTTCATGAGGCATTTTGTTATGGGCAGAAGAGACTGGAATCTGATTGTGTTTTTTAAATGACATTTTCCCTTTGTAATCAGCTCATTGTGCTTGTCATTGCGCTTGCACTGGTGAGCCTGGAGGCAGCTAGGTGCATGCCCTGCCAGGCTGCTGCTGGGGGGGTTGCCCAGCTTACCGTTCCCATGCTCAGTCACCCGGGAGCACTTCAGAACTATCATCCATGGGGGCAAACATGAAGGGCTGCAGCCCTGGGAGAAGTCCTGCAAGCGTTTCTCCCTAGCAGTCCTGGCAGGGATGCAGTACCCCTGTGTTTCAGAGAAGCAATTAAATCTTATTAGATGGACTATTGATTTGGCTGTGTTTCTGCTGGCGGGGGGCTCCTGCTGAGCATTAGATGGCATGGTACCTGATGAAATATTGGATCTCCTCTTTGCCAGGGACCAGAGGGAAGTGGCAAAATTCTCAAAGTGGGTTAATGATGCTGTGCAAAAGCCTGCTAGGTCTGTCGTTTGCTATGGAACCACAGAATTTTTTATCAGGAATACAAATCCAGTGTTAATGCTCAGCTTTGGGGTAGGAAACTTCCAACCTGAATTGAAGTGCTGCCTTTGAAGAGAGATTTATTGCAAGTCCTTGTGTGTGATGTTCCTGCAGAGTAATGGTAGAGTGTATGGGAACTGCTGAGTCACGGCCTGAACCTCTGATTAATCACCTGAGGTGAGCCTTGAGTCAGCCAGAGGAGCACAGGTGAAGGCAATTCACCTGTGCTGCTGGAAGGGGTGGAGCCAGGCTCCACCCCTCCTGGACCTATTTAAGAGCTGGCTACCAGAGGGGAAGGATCTCTTCTGGAGATCCTCCTCTTTTGGTATCTTCTAGTGAGCTCAACCCAAGGGTAAGCTCTTCTACTTATTCTCTTTTGCGATCCTTGTTTGCTTTTGCCTTACTCTTTTGATTATATTGCAATTATAACATCTTGGTTATACATAGAGCAACAAAAATACCCTTTGATGTTTAATCTGTCTCTGGATATATGCGTGCCTATGTGAATCAGGGGCTGTTAGCTCTGCAAATTCACTGGGACTTTTCTTCAGGGAACCAAAAGATGAGGATGTCCTTGTTGGTTCCCCTGGTCTAGCATGGGTGCTCAACCCTTTGGCTTGTCTGGACCACACTAAGTGAAGGGAAGTTGTCTTGGGCCACATACATTAACTATTGCATATCTTTTGTATGTAAGTAACAAAACTTCTTATGCATATATATATTATTTAAATGTAAAAGAAGGCAACAGAACTATAAAACTAGTGGGTTGGACATGTGTGGTAGTGCATCATATGTCTGTAAGAACCACAGCTGGCTTTAGGATGACAGCCAGAGATAAACAAAGGAGGTAAAGGTAGAGAAAATGCAGCTGCCGCTGCTGTGTTTTGATGGCAATTTCTACTGTAGCTGTAACCCTCCCTGGCCCTTCTACTTTGGTGCAAGAGCTTTGAAGCTCAGCCTCACCCCCTGCCTGATGCAGCTTAGCATGCACGGGCAGGACAACATGGCTGTGGTGTTGTGGTCCAGTCATCTGCTGAGAACTGGTTAGGCTGTTTCCTCTTGTGCGCCAGAGCCGATGTTACCCAAGAGTTGGGAGATGTTACCCATGAGCTGCACATGGCTGGACCTCTACTCGGGTCTTCATTCTTCAGTAAGCTGCCCTGGGGTTGCTGTGCTGCTCTGCCCTACTTATGTTCCTGGACAAGCAAAAGGAACAGTGTGAATCCTTGTCCCCTTTCTTGACCTTTGTTGGACTGATCAGGGTTCTTGCAATGCATTGGCCTAGATTCGAGCAAGCTGGGCTTGACAAACAGCTTTCTCCTAGCCCCTGTGAATAGATGTGCCTGCCAGCATTGCTGGCTCAGATCTGCCCCTTGCAAGGGCTGTAGTTTTTGTCTGAGTGACTGCCTGTGGTTGATGTCCCCAGCACCTGCTTTGACAGCCAGTACTTGTGCTTGCCCTGTCAGGGTCAGACTGGATAATTGCTGTGGGGTTGTGACGATGTGGGTCATTGTGGAATGTTTTCAGCCTGAAGCACTTGTCTGTGGCTGAGATGGTGTACACATCAGCCTTGTGCTGAGGACAGCTGCATGGCAGGAGCTTGCAGTGCAATCTAGCATGCATTTTTGCTAGCAGTAGTGGAGAAGCTGGAAGCTAGCAGGGATGGGGGAGGGTCTTGCTCCCAGATGCCTGTGTTCTCAGAGCACGTCATTAATATGATGTTAATTGATGCAGTAGCTCCAATTCCAAAGTGTCTCCTTGCTGAAATGCAGCCGGCTTTGGTGAAAGCTGCTCCTTGCAGCAGCAGCAGACAGGAAGAAAGGACGGTCTGTGTTTGCTCCAGAGCATGGTGGCTTTGTCTGGCATTGTGTACTGGTGCTGCAACACAGGCAGGTAGGGGAGGAGTGCTGAGTGTCGCTGCCCTGTGCTCAGTGACCACCTCCTCCATTCTCCCTTCTTCGGGGACGTGGCGCAGCCGTGGTGAGCCCTGCATCACAGACTGCTGATGGATGCTCATTCCTCAGGCTGGACAAAATCAGGCCACTTCCATGTGTCTGCCTGCCTGCCTCTGCTCTTATCTCTTGAGCTGGGTTGGAGAAAGCCAAATGCATGAGGTCAGGAGCAGTGTCGGGAGCCCCACAAAAATCTTTGGGCTCAGCAGAAGAGGATCAGGGCCTTGAGAGCTCATCCCTGTGAGGGCAGTGACTGAGAGGAATCCCCGTGTGTTTGTATGGCCTTCTCGGGGCAGGAGCACGAGCTGTGGACTTCGAGCCTGCTCAGCCGCTCCGCCCAGCTTGCTGTGCCCAGCTGCTGGCGGAGGATGGGACAGCACTTCTGCTCTCAGCTCCTCCATCCGGCCTGCTGGCATAGGCAGTGTCTGCCTGAGGAGGTGGGTGTAGGATGTGGGATTGAGGTGTGTAATGACACACGTGGCAGTGGCCTTGGCACCCCAGTGGCAACCCCTGGCCCGCAGATATGGGAGCAAGGAGTGTGGGGCCTGTGGTCAGGGCGGTACTGCCCTGGGGTCTGGGAAAGGTGAACTGTATGCAGGCGCTGATGTTGGAGCATAGCAGCATGAGCTGGCGTTGTGACTCACGGTGAGCCTGTGTGCGATGCAGAGTGTGGCTAGGCCACGACTGCCGTCACTTATGGAGGGCAGGGAGGGCAGGGCGGGCAGGGCCTGTAGCTGAAGCAGCCGTGCTCTGTGCTGCGTCCCAGCTCTGCTCCCAGTGCAGAGAGACTGCCCAGTGAGAAAAGTGGGCTGTGCAGGGCTGCAGCAGCACTTTCCTAGAGGGCAGGGCATATGGAGCGTGGTAGCATCAGCACAAGAGCCCTTGACCACAGGAGCCTGTGCTTTCCACTGTGAGGACAATGGCAGAGAGCTGGGGAAGGGACGCAGCATTACAGGGGTGTGCTGAAACTCTCTCTTTCTTTTCCTCGTAGCTCTTGTGCAAATCATCTTGGGGCATTGTTTTTTCCCAACCTAAAGACATCGTTATTACCCTGGAGGTGCTGATGCTCCTAGCTTACTGCACTGGGGCCCGATGGATGGCAGAAAGTCCTGTCCTTGTTGGCGAGGGCATGGGCCTGAGCCAACTGCAGTTTCTGGCCTGGCTGCTACAGATTGACAGTGTGAAAAGAGATGCTGTCATTGCTGTGTGTCACCTCATGTTGCTGTGCTGCTTGGGGACTCCATCCAAATGGAAGCGGAACAGCTTTTGTGCCCTGAGCAAGCTTTTGAGAAAGTTGCTGTGGATCTGTGTCACTCCTGTGGAGCCAAAGCCTGTTCTTAGCATCTCCATGCAGGGCAAGCTGTGTAGGGCTATGCACAGCTGATGTTTGCTTGTGAGAAGTGAAAGGGTTTCACTGCATCCATGTGAAATGTGAAGTTAGTGAGCTGTGAGTCCTTGATACTGAATGTTCAAGGGACTTTTGGTTTTGATTTACGTTGTTTATGTTTATGGAGTGATTGACTTTCGCGTAAGCAGGCTATCCTGCCTGCTTTGCGTTTGTCCTTGTGAGAGGATTGCCTGTGTGTGCTGAATGTATAAGTTAACTCTTGTAAAAAAAAAAAAAAAAAAAAAAAAAAA